AATACTATGTTAAAATGATTATTTGATGACTTCCTGTGGCATGCATGTGAGGTTATTTACTATATTAAATATCGAAGATGCGTGGTGCGATCATAATGAGTACAGGCGTTGCGATGACGATTGCGACTGAAATTTTGAGATTTTTCTTTATGAGCGCTGGGAGTTTGGCATCAGTGACAATCCGTCGCCGTTGCTTCGCTTCGCCAGGCCGCGAATGCACAAAGCCAAGATTCAGGTTTAGTGACGTCACGCACCTCCAACTCCAGATTCGCCATCAACAAACCACACCCTAGGCAGCAAACATCGCTCGAGCGATCAACTCACTCTACATGTCGCCATGCCACGGTGACAATTAGATACTGAGGATGATACCCCGTACCGGCTGGCATCAAGCCTGCCGTCGCCCTGTGCAAGGGCCATTAAGGCACGTTCACGAAGCCGATCCTGGTTGCCGATCATGAAAAGTGTACTAACAAGTCATCAGGAACATATATCCGACACTCTCCGCGACAGTGAAACCAAGTAACTTAGGTTACCGCAGACCGTGGACCGTCTCCGCTCGGTATGTGACCGGACTGCAGGCAGGCGAAGACAAGACCGGCCACATCAGCGCCGGACCCAACGAAGGAATCCTCTTCTTCAACAATGTCTTCCCCATTCAGATCCGTAAGGTATTAGGGCTTCCTCTCCCTGGGCTCTTCGATCGCCTCATCAGTCCCACCATCTCTGGCACCGACCCCAAAGCCGTTATTGAGCGAGCAAGTGCGAAACGCAACCTCCAAATTACTGGCACTGAAGTGCTCCCGCGAACGAGAGAAGGAGGCGCGTTCGTCAAATTCACGCATGATGGCAATGCGTCTGCTTCAGAGATCGAGAAAGTGTTACAGCAGTACCTGAGAGATGAGCCAGTCAAGCCATGGTGGAGTCCGTGGAAGAGGATGCGCGCCAAGATGGTTAAGGGAAAGCCTTGGGTCGAAGATCTCATGCGTCTACCCGCTTCACGCCTGCGGGTCGAGTTTGTGTCTGCTGAACCAGGCGTGCCAGCTTCTGAGGCTGTCGAGATGAGCCAGGAGCAGCTCTTCCAGTTCTTCAGGCCGTATGGCAAGCTGGGAGATATCGTTATGCAACCTCCGGATTCGAAGGTCCTTCCCAAGTTCGCGTATCTGGACTATACTAGCATCGGTAAGGCTATCATGGCAAGGAACTGCATGCATGGCTATGTGGTGTCGGAAGCTGAGGGTGGGGGCAAGTTGGGTACGGTGTTACGGTTGAAGTACGAGCAGAAGATTAAGCCGAGGTATATCAGGGATTGGATCTTTGGTCATCCGAGGATCATCATTCCAATTGTGGCGGCGCTTATTGCAGCTCTTGTTGCTATCATCTTCGACCCGTAAGTCAGCCATGCACGTTCACGACCCAAACTAACAGATACACAGCATCCGCACATTCTTCGTCAAGGCTCATATCACGCGCAACTTCCATATCGAGGACAACAAGTGGTACCAATGGATTAAGGGCTATGCCACAGACATCATTCACGGCGGCAAGAACCGCGATGACGACGACGGCATGGATGCCATTTGGGATGACAGGAAAGACAATATCGAACAGATCCAAACCTGGTTGATGGAGACTGCCGAAACTTTCATCATCGTTCAGGGCCCTCGCGGTTCCGGCAAGCGCGAGCTCGTCGTAGACCAGGCCTTGGAGGATAAGAAACTCAAGCTTGTGATCGACTGCAAGCCCATCCAAGAAGCCCGTGGCGAGAGCGCTACTATCAACGCTGCTGCGCTTTCTGTGGGATACAGACCAGTATTCAGCTGGATGAACAGCATATCTGGAATGATCGACATGGCCGCTCAAGGTGCTACAGGCGTCAAGACGGGCTTCTCGGAGACTCTTGACTCTCAACTCAGCAAGATCTGGAATACGACCACTTCGGCTTTACGACAAATCGCACTGGACACACGACACAAGAACGACAAGGATGCGCACCTTGGAGACGACGAGTGGCTTGAGGCACATCCAGAACGCAGACCGATTGTTGTGATTGACAACTTCCTCCACAAGAGCCAGGAAGGCGGTATCGTCTATGATAAGATTGCTGAATGGGCTGCGCGTCTAACCACGACGAACGTAGCTCACGTGATCTTCCTGACCAACGATGTCGCATTCAGCAAGTCGCTCTCCAAGGCGATGCCAGATCGCATGTTCCGTCAGATCTCCTTATCTGATTGCAGCCCCGAAGTAGCGAAGCGATTCGTAATCACCCATCTCGACGCCGACGTCGAAGACGACCCAGCCCCAAAAGACGGCTCACCCAAGAAACTCCCCTCTCAACACCGCAATGATCTCGACGAGCTCGATACCTGCATCGACCTCCTAGGCGGCCGCCTCACAGACCTCGAATTCCTGTCCCGCCGAATCAAGACCGGCGAAACACCCACCAAAGCCGTCCACGAAATCATCGACCAGTCCGCCTCCGAGATCCTCAAAATGTTCATCTTCGGCGCAGAAGACGAAGGTGGGAACCGGCACTGGAACGCCGAACAAGCCTGGTTCCTCATCAAAGAACTCGCCCAGAAAGAAAGCCTCCGCTACAACGAAATTCTCATCGACGATATCCTTAAAACAGGCGGTGAATCCGTTCTCCGTGCTCTCGAACAAGCGGAGCTTATTTCCATCGTTTCCGGTGCGAATGGCCGTCCTTCTATCATCAAGCCCGGCAAACCCGTCTACCACCCTGCGTTCAAGCGCTTGACTGAGGATAAGGTGTTGAAATCAAGATTGGATTTGGCGATTCTGACGCACCTGACGAAGATTGAGAATGCGACGATTGATAAGTGTGAGAATGAGTTGTTGCTGCTGAGTAAGTTGAGGAATCAGCCTGCGCAGACTGCTGGGAGGGTGAATTATCTGCTGAGTAAGTTGATGGTTAGTCAGGGGAAGGTGGAGAGGTATGAAGGGGAGATGAAGGGGTTGAAGAAGGTGCTTGGGAAGGAGTATTAGGTTTTGAGGACGAAGTGTATGATGATACCATCTCCCTTCAATGGTAGGAAACTGGGCTGAGTGACATGGTAAGAAGGGAGCGATTGCAACAAGAACCAGGTGAGTAATGATTCTGGCACGCTTGAATACGAACGATGTATCATAAAAGGATGCCACTCTCTATATTAAAGCACATGCCTGCACCGTTGCTTCGCTACACCTCCCTTCGTAACAAAACGCCACAACACCCTGCCAAATGCAATGCAACACAACCCACCTCTTCTTTAAGCATCCATCTAAAGCTAGCCTAGCATCAACATGACGTATACCTTCTAATACATATCCCATGCCCATACCAACCTTCCCCCCTTTCCTTTTTCGTCCTCTTCAATCACCCCAGCCACACCCACCAAAACAGCAAAATAACCGCCGCAAAGAACCCAACCCAAACCTTCCACCCCACACCCGTTTTCTGCGCCATCCTCAACATGCGATTCATGGTGCCCTTTATCTTATGTCTCGAGTTCTCAAACTGGTCGTTCATCTTCTCGGCGAGGGTGGTGGAGTCGCGGATTTCGTCGCCGATGAGGTGGGTTAACTGGGTGAGTGTTAGCGAGGTAGTCCTTACGACATATGGATAAGAAGGGAGGGTAAGTAAGGGATTTGAGAGAGGCACAACATACATCCTTCAACATCTTAACCTTCCCCGTCAAAACCCCAACATGCTCATCATTCTGACTCTCCAACTCATCCAACACAGCCGCCGAGTACTGCCCTCTTGAATTCGGTGTCGCGGATCTGTAAATCCCATCTCCATCCCTATCCCCTCCTCTTCCACTTCCACTCCCACCGCCTACACCATACCCCCCATACCCACCACCCCCATACGCACTTCCCCCCGCGCTGCCCCCAGGATACAACCCTCCCCCATTTCCAATCCCACTCCCACCACCACTTCCCCCTGGATACGCATCCGCAGAAGAACCCGGATAACCATACCCCTGGCTTATACTAGCGTTGTAGGGGGAAGCGCGCGATTTGTTTTTTGTTTTCGAGGGCGAGGCGCTGCGGTTGTAGGAGGAGAAGAGGTCGTCGCGGGGGTCGGCGCGGGTGAATCTACTTGACATTGTGGTGGATGTGCGATGTGCGGTTTATGGTGGGATGGCAGGTGTGTCTGTTGCCCGTTTCTGGGGTTTATGAGCCGAGGTTTAGGTTTGTCGCGTTTCGTTGCAGGCTTGGGATCTGAGGTCTGAGGCTCTGTGTTTGAAGCGTGGCGCGCGCGGCTCTTCGATGCAGGTATGCGATTGCGATTGCGCCTGCGGTGGATGCGCGTATACGGTATGGGACGCTGATCGTGCTTCGTGGGGTAAGGTTTCTGTGGAGGACACTTTTTCGCGGGAGTGACAAGTCGCCCCGGAGGTTAGGAGAAGTTGTGTTGTGCTAACGCCGAGGCCACGGGTTCGCGCGACTTGGGACTAGGGAACACGTTGTTGGAACGGGCGGCGGCGGCGGGAGTGAGCACGCGTGTTTGTGGCGCAAGGGTCATTTGCTGAAGGTAGTGACTTCTGGGCAGCATGCTATATATGTTCAATCACCAAGACAAGGTATCTTCATAAACTTTGGTCTGTGGTCACAGAACCGCGTTTCGAAAAGGCCACATTCGCGACCACATAAGCATCATTCATGACCATCTCTAGCATTCCCGATCTCGGTAAACTACCAGAAAATCAGTCCGCAAGAGCCATCTGACATACACAGGTATGCCCCCACAGACCACCCACACCACGCGTATGCATCTGTACAAGTACAAGGAACCCATCCAAACCATATGTGCATTCTTTCATTCCAAAGCGTAAAAGTGGACTTTTCTCGTAACGTGGCTTTGAAACATGATCAGCCGACTGCTGTGAGACTCTACGCGTCTGCCTGGCGGTATGAAAGCGTAGGCGTGACCCGTAGTTGTATCTTCGCAATCCGGTACCACATTTCTTGCTCACATCGCCGGAGGCCACCTAGTTCTTAAGCCCGACCTTGTTGAGCAGACTACCCGTCCGTCCAGCAACCATAGCCTTATCGTCGAAAATCTTAAGCAGACTCTTCCACACCTGGCCAGGCTCTTGGCTCGCATCGACTGGCTTCCAGATACCCGTCTTCTGGTAGTATGCGACGACCGGAGCAGTCTGGGCATGGTATGTTGACAGGCGCTTCTTAAGCGTGTCCTCGTTGTCGTCGGAGCGCTGGATGAGCGGCTCGCCCGTTACGTCGTCCGTCATGGGCGCCTTGGGCGGGTTGAAGATCTTGTGGTAGGAGCGGCCGGAGGCGGGGTGCACGAGGCGGCCGGTGATGCGCGAGACGAGGAGGCCGTCGTCAATTTGCAGTTCTACGGCGTGTTGGAGGGGCTTCTTGGTTATGCTGAGCATGCCGTCGAGCTTCTCGGCTTGCGTTACTGTGCGGGGGAAGCCGTCGAGGATGAATCTGGGGGTGGGGTTGTGTTAGCATGTCTTTCAAAACTGTGTAGCAGAGGGGACGCACCCCTTGGAGCACTCGGCGTTGTTCTCGAGCTCCGTCTTGATCATGTTGATCATGATCTCGTCGCTAACCAGACCACCCGCGTCCATGATCTTCTTTGCTTCCCGGCCGAGCGCAGTCTTTGCCGCGACTTGCGCGCGCAGCATGTCTCCGGTAGCCTGCAATCTGTCAGCCCCCAATCCCTTATCCCACTCGCTCTGAAAAACCTACAAGATGGCAAGCGCAGAACTTCTCCTTGATCTTGGGCGCTTGAGTACCCTTGCCTAACATGCCATGTAAGCAAAACCGCCTTTTTTACCCTCTCTCTCCAACCGGGAACAACATACCAGCACCGGGCGGGCCCATCAAGATCATCCTGACGCTCTCCGCAGACGCAGGCGCACCCCCATTCTGACCAGCGAGTCTCTTTTCCAGGTCAGCGATGCGCTTCTCAAGGCTGGTGACGGTGCTCTTGAGGTCATCGACGGACGCATCTGTTAAAGGTGCCATTGCGCCGAAGTTGTGAGGAAGATAAGTCCGGTGGGGAAGATAAAAGTGGGTGAGAAAAGTAGAGTACGACGAGCAGAGTAGGATGATGCGCGGGCCGCTGGGAGGGGATTAAGGACGGTTGCGCAATGGCAGTGGGCAAGGTCGCGTTGTGGATGAGGTGGAGCTCACGGTCGAGTTGCTTGCTCGGTTGTGCACGTCCCTGCTTTCAACTTCGGCTGCTGCGGCGGGAAAATGCGTCCCTTCTGCCCGATCCTCGGTCTCACCCTGGCATTGGCGCGGTGATGTCAGAGCGAAATGCGCCGGGGACTTTGCTAGGCATACTCATAGCGGTGAATTCGCTGCTGTAATCAGTGCCGAAAGTACTTCGTGCTCTTTGGGACGGGTTTGTTCCTGAGGTCAGTGCATCACAAGCATTAAACAGGTGGGGTCACCGTAGTAATTCCACACGGCTGCGCGCATAGCATAGGACGCAAGTATCTGCTCTGACCTGGAGTTCAGATAATTTTCACCATCGCGTTGAGCCTGATCGCCTGCTCTGATGATGCTTCCTGCAAGGTCCTCGGATTAGTTTCATCTTCGTCATAATGGCCACTATGAAGCCCGATCCTTTCGAACTCGCCGTCGCCTTTTGTGCCATTCCACTCCCAAGCTGTCGAGTTTGCCTTTCTCAAAATCAACCAAATTCCATCACTGTTTCCATCAAGCTTTCGGTTTCCATCAGACTTTCGGGTGAACAATTTCAGGAAGAACAACGATGCACCATCGTGTACTTCGTGACCTGCCTGCTTCAGGTTGCAGTCGACGTCAAAGGAATACACGGCTGCTTTCGCTCCTTCAGGCGGCAGTGTTCTGATACGGAACCCGTTCTGGGTGTCATAAATTGTTGCCTGTACAACGGTGCCTGACAAGATGATATATCCGCTTTCCAACTGACCCGTGGGATCGTCGCCTTTAGGGCAACACACAACTTCCATAACAGTAGCTGATACGTCCAGGTCTTTCCATTCTGGATAATCCATACCAAACGACGGTTTCTTGTTGAACTGAACAGAAGCCCATGAAAACGTAGGTGCCCGCCATGGTACACATCGGGTCGGGAGATTATGACCAAATGAGTACCACGCGAGGCAGTATATCATCGTCTGTTTCCACATGCCTGCATAGTAGTTCCATCCAGTAGCTTCTCCAAAGCTTTTGGCAATACCCGAGATTGCTGGGAAAATGTCATCTGGTTTTGACAGTGCTAGCTGAGCATAATCCTTGGTGAGTTTCAACCACATGTCTGTAAGCTTGACATGGTCGTCTTTGGCTGAACTCCACTTGGCAGGATGGCACAAGTTCTTTGAACCCGGCCATAGGTTCTCATTTTGATGATATCTGACTTCAGTTCCCTGGCATTCGCAGTCTAGAAGCTCCATACACTCCCATATAAGCTCGTTATTTGCAAAATAAAGAACTCGGGGACTTAAGAGCTGCTCTTGGAAGACCCAGCCTCTCTCAAGAAGTGGCAGACCTTGCGTGCCGAGAATGAGCGAGTGTCTCGCGCGAATGTGTGGAAAGTTTGAGATAGGCCAGCCAACGAGTTCGGGGGCTGCGACTCGAAAGAGACCCTCGTGTGGACCCGAAGATGCAGAAGCCGCGAGTGTCACTGTAGAATTCGCGTAGATGTTGGCCATCTGTGCGGATTGGGCTTGCCAGTCCTTTTCGTCATCTTGGATGATCTAGTAACCATATTAGTGACCATACTAGATCATTGCAAACGTGGAAATGGATAGGAACTTCATACGCATAGTGAATCGATCCAGATAAAGCGAATGCCCAATTCGACGATGACTGTTATAGCATCCCGGAACGTTTTCGGTAGACTTTGCTCTTCAATACTCTTAAGATGAACTGACAAGGTATCCGGTTCTCGTGTTGTCTGTAAAGGGTACTGTCCGCCCCAGCAGTGGCTCAGACATGTATAGCGCTCTCTCTTGTTCCCGGTATCGACCAAGCGGATCATTCGAGGGGTATCCAAGCTGACTTCTATCACGCGGTCGGGTAATCTGGAGTAGCCTGCCTCGACGTGTGGTGAGCACAGGTTTTTATGAGCGGCCATACACGTATCAAGCCAGCCTCGGATAGTTTTGAAGCTCTCTCTCGATCCAGTATCACCTGAGATCACTCTTGACGGAGGTATGATAGGGTCGTCTGGAGCTGCACCATTGTTAGAGAAGCTCATCGTCAGCAATTCTTGCGGGCTTACCGTTCAGAGTGAAGAGCTCTCTGGTATAATAGTAAGAATAATTACTATCTACTCCGCGATACTTCACAAACAGCGAGTTTCTGAGCAATTCCACCTCCAAGTCATCTCTGTTGGCAAGCTCCGGTCTGACTTCGCATACAGCACTACAATAGCGGCATCCACATGCAGATGAATCTTTTAATGACGCACCCCGTGTGGGCATATATATGGGCCTGGAATATCGATCGCTATCTTGATGAAGAGCATGGACTGCACGGCACATGCTCATCTTGACGTGTTGGTCGACGCAGCATGTGAGTCGAAGGGGCGAACGGGTCCCAAGACCATGATTTATACCCCGCAGAGTGAGAAAACCATCCCGAGGTCGTAAGCGATTGTTGTACGAGGCTGCACCTCAGCATTGTGAGTTTGCGAAGGCTACGCGCATCCCCACAGCGTGGAAACTGTCGAGCTAAGGCATGTGCAAATCGACAGATAATCATTTCTCTTAATTATTATTATTTGTTTTTCATAAAAGTGACGCGTGGTACACACGTCGGTAGTCGCAGACTCATCATGGTATGTGGCGCTCGGCAGCGCACCAGGCGGTCCAGCCGCCCTCGAACATCGCAAGAGCAATACTATAGTCGCAAACTGTAGACGTGCGGTTGCGAGCGCTGGTATAATCTCAATGGCTGTGTGATACCTTGCATCGCGCGATCACGGTCATTGCCCGGTGGGTGTGGTGATGCATTGGCCAAAGACCTCAGTCGCGCCTGTGATCCGTGCCCAAGTGGGTGATCGACGGCCGCCTTACCCATTACGGTAACGACGCGTTTGTCCCCTCCAGAACTTGGAATGCGCGAACCGCATCTTCATTTTACAACAACATTACTTTTGCCATTGCGCCAAGATCGTTCAACCTGTTCATTCCGCTCAAAGACTTCGAGGACGCGTCGCACTCGTCACAACTTGGCTTTCACAACATGAGATAGAACTACAATGCCCAGACACCCGGGAGGGTTTATATACAGCGAAACAACGACGAGATGATTAACTACCTTTCAATCATCATACTGACCTTTCAAGCGTCCCTTACTTAGAGACTAGGGAAAGTTCAACCCTGTGCGAAAAGGTCGACTTGCGCACCAAACTTCCCCGCATTGCTCAAGAACCTCCTCGCACTTTGTATGCGCAGTAGGAAAAAGTTCGTATGAGGCCGCTGTTCATCGTCAACATCAAGGCACATCTCGATGAACATCCGCAACTCAGACGAATAACCCTTATAACCCGCAAGGTAGTCCTGGGTCAAGTTGCCTGTTTCAGCAATGTTGCTTGAAGGGCTATCCGTCATACAATACATCAGCGACATGACCAGCCCAACTTGATACATATCCGTCGCTTCAGTCGCTTGCGCCCCTTCTGGAGGCCTGTACTGATCAGCCACGAGAGGAAGATCACGAAGGGTATAGTTGTAAGCTTCCATCTCGCTATTGGTGATGGCGCAGCCGAGATCTGCTAATTTGATGCTGATGGGATAGTCGCTTGGGATGACTTGCGTATCGCTCTTCAAAAAGATGTTGGATGGGATGATGTCGCGGTGGGTGATGGGATCCCAATTGTAGGCTGCCTCGTTGTAGGAATATGGTCCGTGATGCAGGTACTGGACGGCTGCTACGAGGGCTTCGAAGACTTGCCAGACGAAGCTTTCGGGAAGGAGCTCGCCATGTTCGTTCCATCTTTTGATTAAATCGGCTAGAGTACCATGGTCGCAGTACTCTGTCACGATGTAGGGCGAGGCGTGACGTTCTGTGACAGGGCTAGGGAGATGCGCGTCGTGGAGGCTTATGATGTTGCGATGGTGTAGGCGGCTCAGGATGTTCATCTCTCGGGCTTGAAAGCCAGGATACATGGCCTCTGAAGGTAAGACTTTCATGACGCGCATGTCTTCTTGGAGATCATCGCGCACGAAGAGGATACCTTGATTGAAAGTCCCGTCAACACCCCCCAGTTCGGACCTGATCGGGCTTGTCGAGTTTGGGGTCTTCTTCGATCAGGTAGTCGGCAAGGCGTAGCATTGCCTCGCAGAAACTTTCAGTCTCACTGTCACATGTGAAAGTGCCGCTATCGGCTCGGTTGCGACGCTTGTAAGCGCCCTCTGACATATCGTGGCTCGGGGTTACAGGCATTTGGCGAGCAGTATCGAGGGGATTTCGATGTACCTTTGGGCGATGAAAACGCACGGGAATTAGATGCTATCGACAGTTCAGCAGCATCACGATCAAGGTATATACTCAGTGGACAGATACGCCGTGCACATACCTCTGGGTGTACTTTGTGAACGGCATGCAGATGATTCATAGCGGCACAGTGTTGTGTACGCGAATCATGATATCGTTCTCCACAACGTCATACGTTGTCGATACACCATGTGATACTGTTTTGGAGCAGCACTATATACCGAAACGGTATATAGCATTCCATGATTTTCTTTTCTTCCGTCACTAGTTCGGCTTCAACAATTGACAGCGACATACATCGCGTAGCTCTTGCGTTGCAGATTTCACCATGGCCTCGAAGAGTCCAAGTACAACGGAAAGGACGAATTTCAGCAACGACAGCGTGGCACCGCATTCAACATCCCAATGGCTCAGTGAGCTAGAACCGGAAGGTCCGGAATGCTTAGACTACTTCAACGAGTTCAAGCGCTGGTGTATTTCAAAGGATATCTCCTGGTTGTACCCTCCTGATAGAGCTCCGTTCACAGGGTTTATAAAAGAGATGAATCTGCGAACTTACCCCGAGGATCCAGAGGGATATCCAGGCTTTCACCACGCACTCGGCCTCTTTGTCCGCTATTATAAAGCCAGGAATGGCAACCCCCCTGGAAAGCTGACGATGATGGACATGTGTACGCTGATTGATATGCTGAACAGCAAGTATGCCTCCACGATAGCAGACGAGCGGTTTGTGATCGGTGGGAAAGTTGCCGGCGATAAAGCTGGTGAAACATGGCGCATCACCTTGAAGCTGCAAGACGTTAACGGAAGCTTTAACCGTGGTATTTACTTAGTCCACAAAGAGAACAACCCTGATAATTCCGCTCAGATCATGAAGACTCTTCCCCTACCCAGAGATTACCTTGGCTTCGCTGAGCGAGAGTTGGATGTTCTCGGGACTTTGCAGCACGACAAAGTTATCAAGTTCTTCGATGGTAGCGCACCAAAGAGTATACACGATACGGCATGGATGATTACGGAGTACTGCAACAAAGGCACATTGTTCGACTTCGTCGAAAAGTATGGCTACGAGGCAAGACTTCCAGTCCCTGAGCTCTTCGTTTGGAACATCTTGGAGAGCCTGGTACACGCGGCTGCGTATCTGCACTATGGTCCGAATGTACTCGACAAGATTGATCAGCAGGAGCCCGGAGACGAAAGCCTAGAAGTTGAAGATGAAGAAGATGCCTCTTGGGATGTCGTATATCACCGCGACATCATTCTGTCTAACGTATTTCTCACTTCCAGCACCGGAGGCAAGACTGAGTATCCGATCGTCAAGTTAGGCGACTTTGGCTGCGCCATGCGGCAATCGGAAGTCAAAACTAAGAACCAAGACGAATACCCAAAGGCAGATGAAACACCGCAAATGGACCCTGCATACGAGCCGCCAGAGGGTCAACGTGCCAGCAAAGCCGTCGATGTGTATCAGATCGGCCGACTAACGTGGTGTATTGTGCAGAATGTCCTGTCTCCCATCTGTCTTGACGAGAAGGCAATGCTGCCTGAGAATTTCGAAACTTCAGAGGATGCGCCTTACTCACGGGAGCTACGCCGTATCCTGTATTCCTGCACGAGGGCCCGCGCTGACCTTCGAATCGATTCTCTGCCTCTATTACGCCTCGTCCGGGGTACAAGACAACGATTGATCTCTGAGAACCGCTTACCGTTTGTCGAGCTCTACGTATCGTTTGTCGAGCGCCTTTCTGAGTTCCTTGAATTCGCCCATTGAGCGATGAAAGGGATGAGAAAGAGGTCTGAGTAGCTTGGTAGTTAGATGTAATCTACTCAAATTTGTTTTATACGTTCTATAAGCTATGATCTAGTGGGCGCAGATCTTTAGAAGAGCGTATTGTGGTGGCCTTTGGAACCAGCTCTTGGTAGAAATGCAGTGAAATATGTCAGCTAATGAATAGTTCGACCATCCTTCAGATAGGGCTGGGTATAATCCCAGCAATCAAAACAGCTCAACCTCGGGCGTCGTTCTCATCGTCACGCTCACTGACTTTGCACAATGTACTATTGTATTACAAATCTGCCTTGCTTTCCTTACTCCACCATTCCGCTGGCCAAGATCTAGGTTGGCCAATTCGGCGACGTGGGAGGACCGAACTAGCACCGAGCCTGAAATGGATTGCTTGGTAACATATGAATGATCGCAAGATGTCCCACTTCGGGATACAGTGTTCTCCAGGCCCCAAAGAACGCGCGTAGGTGGGTAGATGCGCGTGCATCGGCGTTTCTTTCACGTAGATCAGGCGGGCCGCGTGGGTCCGCTCCCCAGACTCCTGCTACCGGCCCGTCGAAGGATTGGATGCCGCGAAACCCCGCATCCTCTGATCTGACGGATAGCGGATATTGGTGTAGTATCTGCTGTCGTACGTAGTCTTGATGAGCTGCTATCATTTCTTGATATGTCATGATAATTGAAAGCATGTTACTTCAACGACCAAAGAGATAGTGTCGAGTTGAAGAGGTAAGGTGATGAGCCAAGCTGCCCAGATATCTATATGTTTACATACCGCCTTGGTTTGCGGGATAAATGTGGAAGTGCGATCTTGGCTGTGGACAGACCGAAGTTACTCCAGCGAATTGATCTTGGATGGTGGCCTAAGGCAAGCGAAACCGCTGTATGAGCGGGTGGAAGCTTCCTGCCCGTCTCTGATGCGCAGCGGTGAGGATTGAAGAAGTGCCCTGTGTCGTCGTCGGATCGTGGCTGGCGTCGCCATGAGTGAGTTCGTTGTTGACGATCGTAATTATAAGAAAGAGTGGTGAGAGCGTCTGGGCCGGGCTTGGAACATCTTCAGGGCTCCTATTCTCCTTGGCTTTGCTGATCATGGTACGTGTACATGGGTGTAACAAGTACCGATAGTGTGAGGCCTGCCATCGCCAAGCGTTTAAACGTTCGTTGTTCATCAATCATCGCATGCGCGGCGACGAAAGTGTTGCCCAAAGATGACGAACAATGATGCCTATACGCCTCATCCATCGATAGACAGCCTTTTCGCATGGAGTGGAGCGCCGGCCACGGGGGAGGAAACACTGGAGTTAGAAATTATACTCACGGATGCGATACCATCTCGAACGTCAGCTTGCCACGAGCAGTCTTACCAAAGCAGGACCAAAATACACTCTGCTCATTGGCGTGACTGGCCAAGGGCCATAACGCTGCGAGCAGCCCGCGTACTCTTGAGAGACGTGCCTTGTTGGTCCTCGGTGTATCATGATTCGTCGATCTGCGTCTGCCAACCACCATTTCGCCTCAGTCACTGGATGCCTAAAGACATCCGCAGTGACCCGTTGCGCTCAGAATGTGGTGACGTTTAGGCTTCCGAGGTTTAGCCACTTCGACCTGGCATAGCGACCCCGAGTAGAGAGCCCACTGTTGGGCGCCTGGAGAGGTTGATCGTAAGCTTCGCTCTTGTGCTGTGAATGCGTCTTGGAATGTCGATACTGTGCTTTTCCAGCATGGCATGTCGAGCCTGGATGAGGTATAAGTATCAGGCTGTTGTCCCTTCGAGAGCTCATCATCCAACACGATCCTCAACCCTCAAGCAACTCACTCCCACTCCAACCTCAAACACTCCAACAGTGTGTCTTGTCGATCTCTTGCTTTCGCTTCCAGCTGACCATGCCTCCCAGAACTTCAAGATGCAGTTCACTCTTGCCTCTGTCATTGCCATTGCTGCCGCTCTCACTCCCGCGGTCAGCGCCTTCTCGGTAACCGTAAGTCATATCCTGAAGCGAGCCTCCGCAAGGCGATATTCTCGTCATGATCACCCGCTGACTTGTGTCTTTTCCTCCAGAACTGCGAGACCGGCCAGTACAAAAACTTCGGCGAGGGTGGTAACAACAAGTGTCAGGGTTTCAACACTGGCAAGAGCGTTGCATTCGACAGCAACAAAGGCCTGTCTCTCCGCGTCTTCGCTTCAACCAACTGCCAGGCTGGTGACGAGATTTTCATTACCGAGCAAAACAAGTGCCAGGAGGTTCCTTTCACCGGGCTATCCGTGCTGGCAGAGTAAGGGCGATCGCATGCATCTTGGCAAGCAACAAACGCTTTCAGCATTTCGGGGAGCGAAGGAATTTGGAGGCAATGCTATCCAACATAGTGTAGCCGTCCACCTTGTATCCTAGACACCTGCACTCGTCACGTACAATACAATCGTAAAACTATCGATATTGAAAGGTACCATGACCTATCAGTGATTCGTCTGTTGGAGATGGTAATCATCTGGTGCTTTTTGGAGAGGGCGAGTCGGCCGGTTGGTGGACCCCTCCATCGGTGCAGCGGGAACAGCGTTGCCGATCCGAGGCACGCGCTGGAAATCTTTGGAAGTGATCTCGGCTATCGATGGATGGTCGTAGCATTTGCTGAACGCGTGGTGTTGTTGTCGGATGGGATCGTGCTCAGACGATGGCGTGAGGTCCTGACAGCTCGCCGACACGTGATAGCACGCAACCGCAGCATCGTCGGCCCGATTCGCCAGGTTCCTGAACAATTTGTAACGCGAAAATGACGCCACGCACTCCGCTGCTCCAGCGCGACATTTCAACCCCACAAACCTATCTTCCACCATATAGCCTAGGTAACTCGATCTTCTGGCATCCCGCAAGAGGCCCGCCTAGATCACGGTGCTTTGCCTACATCTGCCGAGGTGTCGTAGCCGGGCCCTAGCCTATAGCGTACCTCTATGACGTGGCTATGGATCAATCTCGGACGAGTCCGTCATTGTTTGGCAACATATTCGTGGAACAGCTTAGAAATGCAAAACTGATGAAGCACTAACGAAACACTTATAGACCGCCATTGATCGCACGCCAAGTTCCCATCTCACTCACAACACACAACTTCCAAACATCAGTCTCATAATACTATACTTTTGCCTTTTTTTGTTAGATACCCATTCACATTTCCGCAAACATGGCACCAAGAAGATATGAAGCCGAGAAGAAGGACCCTGCGCCTTTGGCAAAGCCTCTCGACTTTGCTTTCTCCAAGAAGACTGCCCAGAACCGATTCCTCAAGGGTGCTATGACCGAGCGCCTATCATCATGGGATGCTCAAAACCTCGAAGCTCGTGGTGTTCCTTCCAAGAACCTCGTCAATGTCTACCGACGATGGGGCGAGGGTGAATTTGGTGTCATTCTTACCGGTAACATCATGATCGAATACGACCACCTGGAGGCTGCTGGCAACCCCATCATTCCCCGCGGCTCAAAATACGAGGGCGAGCGATTTGAGATGTTCAAGGAGCTCGCGACACAGTCAAAGAAGCACGGCTCTTTGATCGTCGGACAGGTCAGCCACCCAGGTCGCCAGGTAACCGAGAGCATCCAAAAGAACCCCATCTCCGCATCCGACGTACAATTAGAGGGCAACGTCATGGGCATGACCTTCGCCAAGCCACGCGCCGCTACCGACGAGGATATCAAGAACGTCATCGAGGGCTTCGCTCACGCAGCTGAGTACCTTGAGAAGGCCGGTTACGACGGTATCCAGCTTCACGGCGCCCACGGCTACCTGCTCGCACAATTCCTGGCCCCAAGCACCAACAAGCGTACCGACAAGTACGGTGGATCTCTCGAGAACCGCGCACGCATCATCACCGAGATCGGTCAGGAAGTCCGCAAGCGCACATCTTCCAACTTCGTCCTTGGCATCAAGCTCAACTCCGTTGAGTTCCAGGATAAGGGTTTCGGTACCGAGGAGGCCGCAACCCTCTGCAAGTTGCTTGAGGACAACAGCTTCGACTTTGTTGAGCTCTCCGGTGGTACCTACGAGCAACTTGCTTTCGGCCACAAGCGCGAGTCCACCAAGAAGCGTGAAGCTTTCTTCCTCGACTTCGCCGAGAAGATCACACCTTCGCTCTCCAAGACCAGGACCTACGTCACTGGTGGCTTCAAGAGCGCCGCCGCCATGGTCGACGCCCTCAACACCGTCGACGGTGTTGGTCTGGCTCGTCCGGTCACCCAGGAGCCCGAGCTTCCTCGCCAGATCATCAACGGCGAGGTTCACGCCGCGATCAACCAATTGACCGACGACAACGATTTCGGCATCACCAACGTTGCAGCAGGAACACAGATTAGGCAGCTAGGCAAAGACCAACAGCCTATCGACCTGAGCGACGAGAAGAACTTCGAGGCTTTCCAGAAAGACATGGGTACCTGGGCTCAAGGCTTCTCCGATGACAAGACCGGAAGCAAGTACGGTTACGTCGACATTGAGAGCGCTAAGGCGATCCCATACGGCACCGCTGCTCCTACTTCGTAGATGTGATGCATCAAGAACATGTGTATATAGATGGAACGAATAGACACGAATTCTACGACTGAATATATCAAATCAAGATCTTCATACACAGCCTTCTCCCTCCTCCGGCGTAGCAGGTCTATCTTGAAACTCGTCCTCATTGATCTCCCTAATAACCTCAATCCTCCACCTCTGCGTCTTAGCCCCCTCATCCTTCTCCCTCAACACAACCTGCCTCCTATTCTCTCCACCAACATCCATAACCTTCAACACCCCACTCGCTTCATTCCCAATCCACCATGTCCCATCGCCCCACTCGCCAATCCTCCAATCAAGCGCATGTGGCGTGTCGTCCGCCCGTCTCAACACCGCTTTCGACGTATCGTCTGCGTGGACGTCGAGGAGTCGGTTTGGACCTAGCCACCATGTGCGGAGGCGGAAGGTATTGGGGTTTGAGGATGCGGGTGAGGGTATGAAAGCCCAGTATTGGCCTGAGTAGTAGCCTTCGTGGGTGAGTTTGAGGAGGCCGGTGCTGTTTTGGGTGCCGTGGTCGTTGACGATGTCGAGGGTGGGGTTGGAGGGGTTGGAAGTGTTTGTTATGCGGTGGAAGTGGGAGGGGGAGAGAGGGGTTTGTGGGTTGGCCATTTGGAGTGGCGGTGTTGGTGATTGGATTTGTAGAAGGATGATTGGATTTCTGAAGCTGTGTTGATGATACAGCTATGTGAGTTCAGCAGTGAGATTCTTATATTGCTACCATCACGAAGCATTCATCTTTTGTTGAGAAAGTATCCCACCTCAGCGTCGCCGGTCAATAGCCGTCCCATGTGGCGCATAGCACGAGACTGTCAAAACGGGTACCTGGTCGACCTATCACGAACTTAGAAGCTTGAGAATGCGGTTTCGATTGAACGCCTGAATCCATGGTTTAGGTAGTGATGAATAACATCAGGAGAACATGCCGATCACTTGACCAGCTGACAGTCAGCCACCATGCAGGGCCGTTGCTAGCGACCCTATTACGACTATGTAGACGTTTTGTTGGGATATGCGCAAACTTTGGCAGGTCACGATCAAAATCCGTTGAGGTTGAGATGATCGGAAAAGAAGAGGAGACGAAGATGAAGATGATTGAGAGAAGGGCTGATGACGTCACATCGTCATTTGGAGGCATAGTGGCAATTTTGATCACGACAACATGAGTGTTCTCTCCAATGAGCACAATTGTGCATTAGCATGCCAGAAAATGACTGAGAGAGAGTAATAAGCGGCATTCGAATCATCAGTTGAAGTATGCAAACATCGACCAGCACCTCCTCGACACCCTATATAGAGTTTAGCACTAATGTTCACTTCTTCCACCCTTGAACTTTTCAATTCTTCCGCTCTTCCGCGTCCCGGTTGTCGGTGGAGCCTCTTGCTTCGCAGGTGTCTTCACAGGTGTCTTTGCAAGCGTCTTTGCAGGTGCCTCCGCCGCCTTCTTCGTAGTCCTTTCGGGTGGGCTTGGGGCCGCCGACCTTCGCGATTGTCCTTTGGTCGCTGCCTGAGATGATGGCCTTGATCTCGGCGAAGAGGATTGAGCCGCAGCAGCAGGTGATGGGTTGTCGTGACGGACTGCTGGCGAGGCCGTCACGATAGCTCCTGTTGAAGTCGAATATCTGGTTGGGTCTTCGAAGTGTACCCTATTATCATCTTCTTCAAATTCTGGATCGATCGATGCGAGTCTGGATGGTATCCCACTTCGACTGGGGTCAAGAGGTACTTCTTGTCTTCGCGCGTCCGCTCCCTCGGCGTGTTGCTCTTCTTCATTTCCACGTGTTTCTTCGCCAATCTGCGGTACATGCTTCCTAAAATTCGGACGCTCATTCCTCTCGTCCTGAAGCTGTCTGTTCAGCCTGCGTGTCTCCGCGACGCGATACTGCTTAGCGTCTACCGCAGGGCTCACGTGTGGAGATAGACCCTCCCGTATGGAAGAAAGCCGATGACGGGGAAATTCACCCTCAGTTCTCATTTCCATTGCACTGGGCGGCTGGCGTAGCGGAATAGTACTACGGGGCTTCTGGGCCGTCTTTACGGCATTCGAAACGCGTTCCTTTTCGCGACGCTCACGGATGGCTTTGCTGGTGATGAGTGGTCGAGGTGATTCATGTACTGGCGAGGTGTCGTCTCTAGAGGCAGGAGAAGTATAAAGGTCATGACTCTCTTGTTCCAGATCACGCCTATTCCTGCGCGCAGTCTTCGGTCGTGGCGTGTCGGATTGTACATCTGTAGAGCCTCGGGCACGGTGAGGTGTAGGATTAGACGGACGGAGAATCGGCTGTTCGTCTCCGCCGGCAAAAACATCTTCACTGAAAAGGTCTACGGGGCCCAGGCGTTGTGGCGAAGGCGTATCGTCGCTACTGAAAGGACCGTTTCGACCGCGACGGGGAGTCGGATTTGACGGCCGTGCTGGCGGTGACGATGAGTATTCATCCACGGAACCTAGACTGGAAGGATTTCCGCGACTCCTTCTACTCTGTGCCGATGACGGTAACCTTGGAAGGCCAAAATCAAGATCGATATCCGACGATGTGAGCGGCGGTCGCTCCCGTCCTGGGCTTAGATGCGATGCTGTCGGATTGTAACCGAGCATACCCATATCCAGCTCATCATCTTGTTGCACTTCGTCCTGATTAACGGGACTTTCCTCGGGCTGACCTGCAGAAGATGGCGACTGTACGGCGGTTTCCGGTACGTCGCCCGCAATGTCGGGTTCGGAAATCTGCTCCTCTTCAACGACACGACCTCGTGAGGAATCCGCATCCTCTCCATCCGCAGCATCATCCAATCTCCTTCTTACTCTCCTCTCATCCTCTAAATCTCTCACATTCGCATTGTATTCAGCCTCAAGTTGACGCTGGGCCCTCTTCGCAATAGTCACGCCCTCCGATTGCGTCAGATGGATACCAATCATTCGACTGACCTCATAGTCAATCTCCTCGTAAAACTCCTCTGGCGTCTTTATAAGTTCTTCTAGATTCGGCATCTTCTGCAGTGTGCGGACAACGTGGAAGACGGCTAGCCGGATTCTTTTGCGGTTATATTTGTTACGCTGGAAATACCAAAATATGCTCGTTGCTGCAGCTGCGCCTCCTGTGATTGCCAGTAAAATATCGCCGTATCGCTGAAGAAACGATGGGAGCGTGGTTTCGCCAAAGAAGTATTGGGTCAGTGTCTTTGCGACCACATATGGCGGGGGTGTTGGACGAGGCATGTGAACTTGTCCAGGTAGCAACATAGACGTAGTGTCTGTGACTATTGTGGACTTGGGTAATGTCTGTGACGCCAAAGTGTAGTATCGCCTTCCAGCTGCCATTTGGACTACTTTCACTTTGAAGGTGGGAGCAAACAGTGGATTTGGATAGACTACGCAGGTCCCATTTCGTTGTTCAGAGGAGAAAAGCTCTTCAAACAAGAAGGCTCTCGGTCTTTGTATAAGCGACGAAGATGTACTCGTGGCGTCGTTGTTCAAGCTGAAAAGACAATGAACAAAGGACGTAATGATTCGAACAGTGTCGAAAGACCGCGTGCATTCGATGCGGATGGCGATGCTGAGTTTCTATATGGTCAAAATAGCGGTTCGGTCGAAGCAGCCACTTTGAGCATATAGAAGCTCAATCTCGCCATCTGCACCGAACAAACGCGTCGGCGATGGCGGCGTGAAGTGCGTAGTAGTTGCGTGCGAACAAAAAGGCCCACTAGACCCATTCGCTAATAACACCAACGGTATGCGGAAGCCAGCCCACCAAAGATGGGAAGTTGTTCGGCTTCATCTTCTGGGGTAATTAAGCCTCAGGACCGCGGACGGTAGATTGCGAAAGCGTTGACGGTCAGTCTGCGGGATGTCAGCTGTGAACCGTCACTAGATAGGACGTATCGTCTTACCAATCCCTAATCTCTCCACACCTCACCATGTTCACTCATCCGTATTATCCATCTCTTCCCATCTCCATCTCCCCGTCCTCCTCTTACTCCATCATCCTAAAACCCCTTAACCCTCCCCACCCCCGTCAGCGGAACCCCAACACCCCTCTCCCTGCCACCCTGCCCCCTCCCTTGACTCGACGGTCCCCCAAGCCCAATATCGCGCCCATATCCCGAGCCACCGCCATAAAGCTCGCGACTATCCCAATTTCTTCCTTTGAACGGCCTTGCATGACCAGATTGTTTGAGCCATTTCGCAAGCAGGACACCGACGGTCGCCCAGGCTGCGGCGATGAGGAGGGCGAAGATGACGAAGTACATCGTGGTGGTTGAGGTTGTGAGAGGTGGTGGGGAGTAGACGGCGATTGGGTAGACGGGTAGTTTGTGCCGGACGGTTGGAACAAGAGGTAGGAGAAAGCTTCACGATCAAAGCATACTTAGGTAAAGTAAAGAGGAAGGAAAATGGGATACCAACGCAAAAGCGGAGGTCATCGGCTGCACCTACTGGCGGCAGCGCTAAAAGTTGGGGTAAAGATGGGGAAAACAAAGCTTATGGCTTCCTCCTATCCGAAGGCATGGATCGACATTACGGTCTTCCTGGGTGCGCCATTGGCTGCGTGAGACAATATAAATCTCAAGACCCGAAACCACCAAATCTAGGTGTTACGATATTGACATGTAAAGACGTGATAATGCAATATAAGAAGCGGAATGAGGATACGTACGACCTCTCCAATCTACAGTTACAAATGCGCAATCAAAAGGGTATACACGCACATCGACTGCCCTCCCGCTCGCTGCACAGCAATCAAGCTCCACTACTTCCACTTCCCTCAGCACGCTCCTCCTTCTCTACCTCCTTCGTCCTCTCAAACCTCTCCTCCGCAGCCTTCGCAAGCACCTCCCTCCTACTCAACCCACCCATCGCACCACTACTGCTATCACTACTCCCACCCATCTTGCCCTCCCCACCAGCACCCCCCAGCGTAAACTCACCCCCAGTCCACCCCCCATGATCATGCACCTCCTCGGCCCCCTCATCCCCTGGATTATAAAACTCGTCGTTCCCCACACTCCTCCCTCCACTCTTCCAATCATCCCTCGCAACCTCCCGTTCAATCTGCTTGCACAAGTTCCAGAAGTTGCGGTCGTGAGGGCCCCAGACATTATGCGCCAGCTCATGGCACAGCGTGTTCCTTATCGTCTTGTAGTCGCGATACCCGTCGTAGGCATCTGTGCGGAGTCGTAACTCGATAACTTCACCCTGGTTCCGATTCAGCCCCAGTGTCCGACTCTCCATTGTAGTATGCATGGCTGGATCCATCTCCGTGAGCAGCGGCACACTAAACTTGTGCGTGCGCATTGCTGCTTTGATCCCCGCGTCGTCTCGAAGCCGTTGGAGGAATCGCAACGAACGATCTGGATTCGGTAGGTACGGCAGCGGTCGTAGCGTATGGAACGTGTATTGCGCCTCCTCTTGTATCTTCTTGTAATCGCGGTTGCGCGCTGGCAGGGCGGCTTTGATGGGACCGGGGCGCCGGGGCGCTGAGGCGGCGGATATGGTGTTGTTGAGGGAGGAGACGGCTTCGGTTGTGCTGCCCATGAGAGTAATTTTCTTGCCGACGAGCTCGGTGAGTTGTAACGAGGCGTTCTTAAAGGGTGGTTTTTGGAGCCCAATCTTCCCGCCTATGAGGAACTTTTGGTTCGACGGCGGTATTGACAGGTCGTTTGCGACGCGTTCGGAGAGGTCGGAGATTGTGGCATCTTGGGCGAAGGATAGTGTGATTGCTTTGCCGTGGTGGGTGAGTGTTATTTCGATGTCGGAGCTGACGGGCGGAGGCGCAGATGTGGTGTCGGCTTCTGTCATCGTGACAGCGTTGTAGATGGTGGCGAGAGGGTGTCGAGTCGGTGTAGAGGGTTGGATGAATCCTAGGCGCGATCTAGTATACGAAGTAAGTGATGAGGTTAGTGATGATTAAGATATAAAGCTTCGCAGCATGTGGCCGAGCTCTAGCCATGCGTTGTTTCGGTGACGTTCTGCAAGGCTTCCACGAGATGACGGGGTCGCCATCGGAATTTGTCATCACCAAACTCCGATGCTCAGCCATGCTGTTGACTATTCACCACCATCGCCATCGGGCCGTTGAGCACACTCGCAGATCTTGGTAACCAGGGAATCTCACCTGGGCACTCGCTTGTTCCCGTGCTCACTGATCAATAATCGTTACATCTGCTACTTTAATTCAACGTCGCCGGGTATCAATAAAGCGTGTACTAGAAACATACGCTGGCAATGCCTGGGCTATAACCCAGTATAAGCCATCGACACCACCTGCATTACGGCCAGCTGGAATACTAATCCAGTTTTGACTCTTCCTCCACCTTCTTCTGCTCCTCTTCTTCTTTCTTCTTGCGCTCTTCTGCCTCCTTGGCTAGCGTCTCCTCATTCTTGACCCATTCTTTGACATCAGGATCCCATCGGTGTCTACGCGTCGTTAGTTATGACTTGTCCATGCATGAAAGTGATTCCGCTTACCCATGGAAGTTCGTCTCTATCAGGGCCTTCTCCTTGTACTCGTCCACGAGTATCTTGTCGTAGTTGTACGGCACCTTCGCCGGGACGCCCTCGAACATGGTCTCCCGCATGGGATACAGCTCCGATGTGTCGTACCGGTGGTAGTTCTTGCAAACCCACTGCCCGGGGTTCTTGTCTGGATGTGTCTCGCTCAACCCAGTTATGTCGATGAACAGGCCGTTGCGCAGGTCGATCCATCGCGCATCAATAATGTTCATGCCGTCGCCACGCTCGCGCTCCCAGATCCACGGGTTGACGTCGAGGAGGTATTCGCGCTGAACGGCGCCGTCGTAGGAAGTGTAGTGGTATCTCGTCTGGTTGTGTACTGCGCCGAGGTGTTGGAGTGTGCTGTCAGACACCTGAGTGTCGAGATCGAAGTCCCATGGAAGACGCTGCAGAGGCGTTAGCACGTATCGCAAACAGCTGGAAGCAAGACTCACCTTTCCATTCCACCACCAGCCGAGCAATGTCCCGTGTGCTATCCAGGTATCGAGTTCGTTTTCGCGGAAGAAGTTTAGGTAGGCGCGGACCATGTGCGATTGCGTATCCGTTCGCTCCTCGTCGGAGACGATGCCCTTGAAAAAGCGCTTGTCATAGTGGCCGAGCGTAATACTGCCTCTGGAGGGGGTGTCAGCGAACATGCTACAGGCTGCAATGACATCGCGAGTTGCAAGGCTATGACGACTTACCCGGGCTCATGAAAGTACTTGGTATCAGGCTTCTTCTTACCTTTCCTGCTTTCAATACGATCGGCCAAGTTGTCTCCTCCTTGATGTCTGTTGAGTGGCGTCGGTGTGGCTAGTGAAGAGGCGAAGAGTGTCGCGGTTGCAAAGGCGGCAGCGCATTTCAGTAACCGCATGGCTGAGGCGAGGACTCCACTTCAGGCTTCCAATCCAGATAGGTATACCGTCTCAACGAGAACGAGACGAAAGGGCGCCAACAGTAACGAACACTTGCCGTATGATGTTATTATGATCGTCCAAAACTCCAAGGTACTCCGAGTAGAACCGAGCAAAGGTAAACGCAGCGTTTTGGGAAGGTGATCGCGTGCTCAGAGTTCAGCGATCGACAGCCGTGGGGCAGGGAAGGCGCGTATAACGTCAGTGAAGAAGAAGCAACCGCAGGCGGGACAGAGAAGATAAGAGAAGCGCAATGGGGGCCAACCATGGGGTCACAGCGTGCGGGAGGGGAGTCAAAAGGCTTCATGACGCGCACGCGACAGGTTGCCAGCCTGAGCCTGTGCCTGGTGCCACCCACTTGCTCCTCCACAGTAGCCTTGTGCTACGTAAACTCATTCGCGCTCCCATTCCCCTTGCTGGTTACAGGTGTGCCGCTTTTCCGGGGTATCATGGGTATCTGGCGAGCTTGACAGGAGACGTCGTCCAATGACACGCGGCGTTGCGTGGTTAAGCTTTCCAAGTTTTGGCTTTGGGCGGGTTTCGGATGGCGGCTGCAGTTTGCCGGCCGTTGTCGCCGTTGGTATGGCGTGGCGGCGGCAGCTGTGGCTGGTGAGTCCTTGCGCCGAACAAATTAGATGGCCTGACGTCTCCATTTCGCGAAGATCCTTCGTCACTGTCCTTCTTGAGAACTGAAGCCGTCGTGCAGGACCTACGTATGCCAACAATGAAGTCGCATGCGCAGTTACTGGAAGCGGGAAAGTATCTTTCGCTAGGCGCATTTACACAGGTGGCCTCGTCAGCATATGCGCTTTAAATACGAATGTACGAATCCTGCGCGAACTACCTGCAGACATGGATAAACATAGTTCCCTAGGCTCGTACATTGTTCCACCAACGCGTACATGTTTGACGCCACAGTTTCGTAGGCGCGTACAATCTCCCCAGGTGCGAGGATGCATGGTCCGGAAATACGGCTCGCCAATCTGCTTTACCCCGAAATGCAAGGCTGCGGTACGATGTAAATTGAGATGACACACGGGCCATCCTGTATGACTATAATAGCAGACTGTGCCGCTCCAACTAGGCTATGGTTGTACTTCCATCGTTATACTCACAGTCACTTGCAGCATGGTTCAGCGCACGATGACAGACTATGCACGCATGTATAGTACTACATTTCCAGACTTTTCGCTATGCCTACAGCAACTCGCTGACCCTTGAGCAAACGCTGGACCCATTCGAACCTTTGTACGCCGTGAGATTGTATAATATTCGTCTATGAGACGTCCATCGCTTCCGCGCCGTTGGGGATCGCAAAGGAGACGGCGCCCGCATCGCCGATCAAACGCTGTTCCGAGTCGGAGACGAACTATTCGTGGTATTAGCAAGGTCTGATAGGTCGTAGTATGAGGACTGACCTTGACACTTCTTGTGGGGTCGTAGAAGAGCGCAAAGCTTCGCTGCACGTCTTCGATGGTGACCTCTGGACCGTTCCTCTTCTTGCGTATCAGGTCGGACGTCGTGATGAGGTTGCTCGCGTATCGCAACCCAGTTTCCTGGCCAATCTTTGTGAGCAGCGCCAGAGCATCCGGAGACACATCGACCTCCTCCTCTTGCGCTCGTATCGAAATGATCTGCTGCATCTCCTCCGCGTTGTATGCGTGGGTGCTGACAATGACCACACGATCTAAGAAGTCGAGCGGCAGTCCGTGCGGTGACCTGTAGTCTGTTCCCCGTATCTGTGTGTTTCCTCTGTTGCTAGCCATGATGACAATCGGTGCCAGCTCGTCCTCAAGCGCGCGGTTGACAAACGAGAAGCATTCAATGTCGAGCATGTGGACCTCGTCGATGAACAGCACACCCGGCACGATGGTGGCCTTGCCCTCCTCTTTCCACTCTGCGACCTTGGTGTTGATCTGGTCTCGCACCTCGCTGCGGATCTCGCCTGTGTCACCAGAGAAGAGCGCTAGAAAGCCCTGGGTCCGCGAGTTGATCACATCAATCTCGTGCAAGCTGACCGTGTGTACCACCTCGCGCCGTTGTTGCAGCTCGCCTTCGGGGCACTGTACGAATTTGGTGTCGATGCCCATTGCGTCGTAGTCTCGGGAGCGCGTGTACGAGCGGCCGAGCTTGGTGATCTTGCCCGAGGCCTTGTCGATGGAGATGATGTCGCCGGCCATGACCTTTTCCTTGGTCATTGCGTCGATCATCTTGGTGCCCATGTCGTAGACGGTCTCCATGTCGGTCGTCTTGATGGTGAGTTTACCCTGCTTGTTACTCTACTCACAGTCAGTATCGCTCCGTTGCGCAGCCGACCTCGTACTCACGCCTGTGACGCTGCGGTCAATCTGTATCTCGACCACCTCGCCCTCAATGACCTCGCTCTCCTCTGTTATCCGCACGCCAATCGACTTCCGGAAGGCCTGTGTGAGCGCCTCGGTCTTGGACATCTCCAGTGAGAAGATCTCGGACGAGGCGAGCATGGTGAAGGGCACGTCGGGGCCCAGCGACTGCGCCATTCCCATTGCGATGGCCGTCTTTCCTGTGCTGGGCGGGCCTGCAATCAGGACTGCGCGACCGGCAATCTTGCCATCTCGTGCCATCTTGAGTATCACGGCTGCCGCCTTACGCGCCTTCTCCTGGCCGACGAGGCCCTGCGACGACACCTTGGGCTCGAGCGTGTCATCATCGACGCCGAGACCGCGAATGTGAGAATGCGCCGCAATGAGATTCAGGCCGCGGAGCTCCTTGCTCTCGGCGATGGTGGTGATGGGCTACGCATTGTCAGTCAGGTGACTCCAGATCACGTTCTTCACTTACCATGGCCATGATGATGTGCGGTGTGGTAATTTAGGCGGCGGTATGCGACAGCGACATTTCGCGGACGCGCAGAGGAAGCTCCAGTTAAGACGCACGGGCCCGCTTATCGGCCGTTTGCTATTTAGTTCCATTGGGCGCGTCGACGCGACTGCCCCCTCGACCCTTGGAACGACCGCCTCCCCGACCTATCACTTGCCAGCTGGCCGTAATCCCCAAGGCAGCTAGCAAATTCCCTGCGCACTATTTAAACTCTCGAATTTTCTTTCTTTATCCTGTTTCTCCTTTTCCTCAATCCATCGCGCTGCTCCTGCCCTCAATCTCATTGGTTGCGTGCAGTAGCGGCGACCGCGCTCGACCCTCTCACCTCACCTCGTACACCGCGAGATGTCTGGCCGGCCCCAAGTTCCCAACATTTCAACAAGTGTTGGCAATCGCGCCTTCACTGACAGGTATGTTGTCCCCTGCCCCTCACTCCCATCCGTCTACGCAGTCTTGCCACTGCCCCTCACACCTGCGGTCCGTCAATCTAGCTCAGAAGACAAAAAGCAAGCACTTGAGCTGGCTACATTCATTACCCCACCAAGAGTGCACTCCGCATAGCGCGTTGAAATCACAGAAATCAGGCTCTCGCCGTCTTATCTCCTGCGCTTGCTATCTGAGACACGCTACGATGAAACTCGCGTTCTCTCAGTTGCACTCAAAATACTAAGATAGTCCTGGAGGCATTTGTTACTCCTGTCTTAAAGCTGCAACACTCACTGTCTCTAACTCCAGGACATATTTTGGTATTCGGAGGACAATGTAGCAACACGAACTTCATCGTAGGGGGACCGTGCAGAGGCACCTTCACCTGCCAAGACCCCAGTCCGGTATAGTGTATATACTAACATATGGTATAGTCCACGTACTCAAACCCCAACTGCATACTCGCCCGCGCTCAGCGATTCAATGAGCTCGCGCGTTTGGAAACGTCCGCTGGAGCCTCAAGCCCGTGGCGAGAGCCCTCCAGACAAGCGAAGTCGTCCGCCAGACTCGCGGTCGGCGTTACAAGATAGGGTCAGATACAATTCCCTTCCTCCAATAGTGTTTGCTGACATAGAATAGTACGCCAACTCAGCAGTCTCCAGGATCCCGAGCCCTCCAGCATCTAGAAAGAACTCTTTTGCTGGATTAATCAATGTACCTACCGGCCCGAGACTAGCTTCTGACTACCGCAGGCCGCGTCAGAATGTGCGAGTTCTTTCACCCAGTAGTTTAAGCAGTGGAGCATCGACGCCTACGCATCATGCCCCTCCTGCACCTTCGATGCTGCCAACACCAGATCCAAGTGTCCTTCACCAACAGGATGTGACTAGTGCCCCCACGAGCAATACCCCCTTCACCATGCACTCTTTACGCAAGCTGAAAGATAGGAAGAGAGCTCTTGCGCAGCAGACTACCATCACTGTCAGCACGTCCGTTGACGTTAAGCTCAAGACTCAGGCATTGGACATTGCGAACCTTAAGAAGGAGCGTGATGATATCAAGAGGGAGCTACTTGAACTTAACAAGACGCGAGAGGAGGAGCATAATGGTCTCACGAACCGGCTGGTGCAGGTGGAGGGATTGTCTACACGCGTTGATAGCCTCACGAACAAAACAGAGACCCTCAACATTGTCAATGCAGCCGCCAAGCCTTTAGCAACACGATTAGAAGCACTAGAGGTTTCGGCTGCCGAACTTCCAAGCTTACGGCAGGAGTTGCAGGACCTGAAAACTGTGCCAGAACGCCTAGCTGCAGTAGAGAGTAAGCGAACTACTCATCAAGCGGGACCACAGCCGAACGGTTCTGAAAACCTAGGGAATTCGCAGTTGAAGCCGCTATCCGACAGGCTCGATGGGCTTAGAACTACCTCTTCACAGCAGGCGAATCTTATTACGGAGCTGAAGATGGCGACAGCACTACAGAAGACTGAGATTGAAAGTCTGAAGACGTGGAAAAACGCGCAGCCTACACCACTATCCGAACACACTGTCAGAGAGCTTATCACGGCCGAGACCAGAGCAACAGCCAAGAACCTAAACGACAAAATAAAGGATGTGAACAGCCGGCTCTCCGAACGCATCACCAACCACCAGGACTTGATTCTCGCCTTTCAAA